AAAGGAGAGGTATATTTCTTTAAGTCTTTTATGTGGACTACCACCAATAGCACCAAGTCAAACAACAATAACTGGCTAGCGGGAACCAGCAGGTGGCGTGGTGATTAAGGCACTGGACACTCCCACATAGCTGACCATGGTTTGAGTCCTGGACCTGTTGACTTGCTTTCTCACTTTCCCTCTCTCTTTTTTCCTCTCTCTCTATGGTCAAGTTTAAATGAATAAATAAAATTAAATTAAAAAAACTGGCTAACAAGATAAAGTTGAAAATATTAAATTGTTTTAAAATAAAATAGAAACAGCTCAAGGCAGGAAAACTTCAAGATACAATTTGAAAAGGTTAAATTACTTCAACATCTTAAAAATATACACATCCATTTCACTCAAGAATATTTACCAATGCTATGAAATAGTTCATTTTAAAATTAAAGGGAGTTTTAAAAGACATACCTTAATTTTTCCCTCATCTGGTCCTTTACTAGAGTCCGCCACTTTGGTCCCCTGTTTTTCTCTCTGCCTATAAGTCTTCATGACTCCACATAAAAAGGCACTTTTGTTCTGTAAAAAAATTTTCCCATTCATATTTAGCAAAAATTATCGTATCTGTGCCTAATGTAACTTAACAGAGCATACCAAAAATAACGAAATTTTGAAGCTACTTTTTCACTGAAATTAACGTCAAGTTAATATTACCTGAACATGAGAGAGATCACTGTCTTTAAACTGCTGAAGAACTGCCAATGCGCCGTCTTCATTGAATTCTTTTAAAGCTTCAATAGCTCTTTCATCTAAATCGCTATGTGCAACTAGCCCTGGAGAAGAGAAAACTTACATTAGTTATCAACTTGTAATACTTTTGGGAATAACTTTTTTGTTAAGCAAAGACCATGTTGGCCAATACAAGTATATACATTCCAGTAACAGTTCTACTCCCATTTAACTACATATGATAAAACACACACTTTTAGCCATTCTGAACTAAATAAGGCCTCTCAACCGCACTTAAAGTCAACTTCTTTTACATCTAATTTTGTGTCCAAGTCAGATAATTCTAAACAATACAGTATTTTTACAGTAAACATATACTTACAAATCCTAAAATCAACCAACAAAGTACCAACCATGACAACTGAACCTCAACTCAATTTCAAATACCGCTAGAAAAATTACCAACCATACCAAGAAAAAGAACAAATCTACAATTACCAAGTTATTTGACAAGAATCCTACTACAAAAATACCCCAAAAAGTCACACGCCTGTTCCCAACACTTAACAGCTGTTGATACGGTCATACACTTATCCATGAGGCCAGCCAACCTTTAGCTCCTCTCTCTTCTTCCCTCCCTCTACACCTTAACCTATAGTTCAAACCTAAATTAACCAACTATCACAACAAGGCAAAAAACACTCCAGTTCCCACATTTTTGGAAACCACAAAAAGTTGCTATTTTAGCTCAAAGCCAGAAATCCAATAGAAAAATTTCATAATGTAATTTTGCAAGTGTTAGTTCTTACCTGCAACGTAAATTTCATCTAGTTTTTCAGCAACTTTCTGTGGTAAACCAGCATCAAGTAATGTCTGAAAATTTTCTGAATGGATAACTGCAGAAGTAGTATCCATGGGCTCTTCAGTACCATTTCCATTAACATGTTCTGTAGCCATGTTTCCAGAGATCTGTTCAAACGCAATAAGCAAAATTAAACTAGAATCTTCAAAAAGAATAAGAGGACAATATGAGAGCCCCAATCTTTACTTTCTCTGCAATTTACTACAGCAGCCTGCCTCCGCGTCCCTTTAAAGAAGCCTTACTTTAAAGTCACTATCGCCTGACAAGCCAGATTTGGAGCGCGGGACACGGACCAATTCACTATATTCTTCCTCAGCACCACCCCTGATTCACCTGCTAACACTCCCTATGAAAAATCTTACAAATGAGGCCCAATCAGCACGGGGATGAGCCAGCGTGCCACATGCAGCTGCGCCGTACGGAGAAAGGTATGGAGAAAGCAAAACTGGGCTCGTCCCTCTCAAAGGTAAACCCCCAAAGTGCGCGCTTTTCCCGCCTGCCGCTTATAGATCAGTAACAACAGCCAGCGAAGAACAAAGCGCTCTCAAAGCCACCTTCCCACCACCCAATTTCTCCACCCTTCACCCCCGCACCCCAAAGCCCGCCCCCGACTCCGCACCCAGAGCGGCAGCCCCACCACCGCGGGCGCCACCA